TTTTTTTTTTTTGTGTATCATTCAGTTTCTTTCTCAAGGTTTAAAGGTTAGAAGATTTGAAAGGTACCACTATTTATCGGCAGAACTTGCGCACCATTTTATTTCACACTTTTATTCTAATCACTTTTCTGAAAGATCTTAAAACTTTGCTGACTATTTGTGAAAGCATTTTTGCGCAACTGGTAGCAATTTAATTTTCCTTGTACATTTCCTCCTAGCGACCATCTCATGACCTTTTGTCCCACTCCTGTTTTAAAACCACTTTGTTAAATATCTAGTGGCTTTAAAAATCTTTAACGAAGATTCGTGTATCCCTGTGTCAACCCTTTTTGAGAATACGAGCACCCGCTTGCAAGGCATCAACGACATTAACAGACGGCACCTTTCTTACCTCTAATTTGGAACTGAAGATGAACACTTTTTAGGAGGAAGAACTCAAGTCAGCCGTACTAATAGTCTTAGCCAACAAACAGGACATTCCTGGATGTCTTTCTGTAGCAGAAATTCACCGTGCTCTAGGTTTGGAAGCATTACGAAACAGAACCTTCCAAATTTTTAAAACTTCAGCTACAAAGGGTGAAGGCCTAGACGAGGCAATGGAATGGTTAGTTTTTTCGTTTTCAAGTACTCTTGTTGGGTAGGAGTTTAAAAAATTTTCCACATTATGTGCTTACTTAAGTAGCTGTTTTCTGCAAAAAGAACAAAGCATTGATGATCCTCTGTGTGCTCTGCACGTTCTTTCGGGTTCGCTTTTTAATGCTCTTGTGTTATTGCAGGTTGTCGAATACGCTTCAGCAGCGAAAATAAGTACTCCTACTCTTCATTTGCCGATTCACTCCTTTCATAAATCATTTTAATTTATTTTTTAATTTTTTAATGGTCTTTTTACTGAAGTATTAGTAGACAATTAATATCACTTCTTTTAAATCTCACTGTTCATCGTCATCACCGGTCGGAAGGATACAGAAGAAATTGTACAGGTTTTTAAAATTTCCTTTCCTGTAATTAAAACAGATAAGTAAACCAAAAAAGTTCACATTATATCCTCACAGCCTCATGGACCAGAATAAGTTGACCATAGCGAAGCAAATGGTTACTTCTACACTCTTGAATTGATGTACTTTTGTTGTTACTTGTCATTTATCTGTGATAAAGTTTGTTAATGCTTGATAAAAATTGTAACATTTGGATCTTTGATACTCAAATAAAACTTGTTGGAAAGGGCTTACGAGAAAGAGCTTTCTAAGGAACAGCACCCATGACTTTCAATATGGTGGTACCTGTAGGCGTTAAGTCTCTCATTGGTGGTGACTTCGCAAGTTATCTGTAAAGGATACATTTTCCATGCACATGAGGCTCATATTATATAGGAGTCGTCATTTCAGGTGGTGGAGCATGGTGGATGGAAGCGCCGAGGGCCAGAAAACATTTAAATAGATTTAATGCGCTGGAAAACCTGGTATATTTGGAAGAAGAACATCGCAGAAGTCCACACGAAATGATACAATGAAAGGATTGCGGTATACAATATCCAAGGACTACAAAAAACGACATTAAACAAAGAGATCTCCCCACAGTATTCGTTCCAATCTGAAAAGAGTCTGTCATAACCCTTCTGTACCAAAAGATATTTCAACAAAAAAACCAACGGCAACGTCTTGGACTTACAAAAAAATGTCACGACCAGGTAAAGTAACGTGGCCAACATCAAGCAACCTAGGTATATGACGAACAGTAAGTGATTTCTCTTCCCGATACAATTCCCCACCCAAGGACAGTGATGATCAAACCTATAAATTGGTCGCAGTAACTACTTTTACTGAGAAAAAAGTAGTAATGAGGTTGTTAGGAGTGTGTTGGGCGAAGAAGCTTGCTATATAGCAGGAAGAAAATCATCCCGATAGGCAAAAGTACCTGAGGACACATCGATCACAAGCTGAGCAGTGCTTAGACCTGGCAGGCTTTTTAATCAGGCAAGTAGCACAAAACGGAGCTGCCGGTTGCTCACTCTCCCATATTTCCCGAATCATTTTGCACCTCTCCTGAAAAAATAAGAGTTCTATTGGGAATACTCTTTCTCTGCGGGAATGAAAAATTATAAATTTCTAGAGGCATATCATCCTGAAGTTTGCTGAACAATAATGAGGAACACGTTTAAACGTTTAAGAGATACCTGGTGAGTTGCCGACACAATACCAGGATCTGACAGGGCAATTTTCACAAACATAGTTGGTATCACGATAGCCAGGATAAAAAACAAGATCTGGAAGTACCATCCAGCAAAAGAATGTAAAAAAGAAAGCCATGTAAAGATTAGTAGCACCTTCGAAGCAACCGCTAAACCCAATGGTAATATAGTGAAGCTCTCATCATTGAAAATACCCCTAAAGTGGCAAAGAAAGTCCAGTAGCTTAAATAGGCAGATGACTTAAACGAAATTAACACTTGTTGTGCGGATCAACCGCTCCTCAAAAATTACTAAAACAAGATAAAAGGAAAACTAAGAAGTAACAAAAGTAACAAAACTAACGTATAAATAAAACGAGCTCCAACAAACACAGCCAAAAGTGATAGAGCTTTTATGTACCAGACTAAAGAAATATGCAAAATTATTCCAGTAGCAACCATAACAATAAAAGGAAGAAAGAAAACTACTCGGGAGACTAATACCTGAAAAAAAAAAAAAAAAGGAATAATAATGAGCAGTAACTGTCAAAAAAACAAGGTGCACCTTTAAATCACTTTTCTGAAAAAACTTAAAATATGGGTGAAAAACATTCATTTCTTCCTAAAATGCGTTTAATTTACTGGAGTGAGATTTTTTGCTTAAAACTAAAGCGGAATTTCCAATTTTGCTAATTTTTAAGTCTTAGTTCAAACAAAAAATAACTTAAATTTCATCATCTGTTCCTGATTTAACTGTCCTATTAACACAGAAACAAACTGCGATGAATGCCGGGTATAAAAAAAACTTACACTATTTTCTTTAATTTTCTGAGGAAAAGAAGAAGGTAAAAGACCCCGCTGACGTTCCGCTTTTTCAAGCAAGCGTACGCTCTCTGCATCACCTCGTTTAATAGCAATATCTCGAGGAGTATCAGCATCACGATTACGAGCAGCTACCTCAGCACCATGTTTTAAAAGTAGTCTAATAGCTATATGATTACCATGTAGCACAGCAAAGTGTAAAGCGGTGTTAGAATACGTTGCATCCACACAAGATAAGTCTGCACCCATTGTTATCAGCATACGTACTGGGTCCCGACTGAACACCTGTAATTAAACTAGCGCTGAATTGAGTAAGCCAAAAGCCTTAAAAGAATATAAAAAAGCTTATGAAAAGAAATGTAAAACGAAGGAGGAAGAGAAAATAGGTGACCAATGAAAAGTTAACTGTTAGGAAAAACTAGTTCCACAAGTAAAAATAAAATTTCCTAACACAACTATAACAATGAAAATAGACTACTTTAGAGGCAGCCCACATAATTGGTGTCATCATTGTTTCATCTCGAGCATCAACGGACTGTCCAGATGCAATTAAATATGCTGCAGCAGGAGTCCGACCAAACTGTACTGCAACATGCAACGCAGCAAAACCTTTAAGAGTTCTGTTGAAAACTGAGACAAAAACTAATAATAAACACTGAAAGGTCGTTGAAGATTAAAGCTTAAACTATTTATTCCTCGCTAACTGCTCTAGATGACTTGAAACTAATAGTTGGTAAAACAAAAGAAATTGGTGAGTTATACCTTCAACATCTCTAATGTTCACATCCGCACCGTTAGTCACCAATAAAGCGATCATGTGTGCATGACCGTGCCGAGCAGCCCAATGTAGCGGAGTCGAAACCAAAACACCGCCAACAGCATTGACATTACAACCCCGTTCAATCAAAAGTCGGGCAACAGCGAGTCTAAAAAAAAAAACTAATAAGTTAATGAGAAAAAAAAATAAATTTGACAAATCCCACTCTCAATAAACAGGAAAAAACTTAGCCGTATATTTTGAGCAGGTCTTTGGGGAGGAAAAATAAGTAAAGGGAAGTTTCAGCTTCAAAATTATCAAAACAGTTTTTGAAATGATATTTCAAAAAATAGCTAACAGAAATGTGAAAAAAAAAACACACACACACACAAAAATAATAACATTCTCTGCATAGCATATAAGAAATGCATTATACAAAGGTGAGACTATAAAAAATTTAGTCGAAATCAGAAGTAAGATGCTAAACCGATTGTTAATGGCGGCCCAGTGCAACAGGGAGCAATCATCCGCATCCAGCGTATCTGGTGTACACTCACCAAGATCGAGGAGTTCGCGAATTCGTTCCACTCTGCCGTATTGGGCAGCTTGCCGCGCTTCCATAGCTTCAATTTCAGCCATCACCGCCTACTTGCTGTTGATCTATGGGTCTTACTGCCTTGTTAGTCCGCTGGATTAGAACAACAGCCAGAAGCAACAATCAATTGTCTTTTGCTGCCGTCCCCGATGCAACATGCTTGATTCGCTCTACACCTGATCACTATCAAAACAAGATTTTAGTATTAGTCGTTTCATTTGTCTTAAATAGCTTAGATCGCAT